AGCTAGCAAGTCCCTGCCATCGGCTCCAGAGTCGGAGTCCTGACCACGCACCCTGGGAGCTGAGCTCACTCGTCAGACTCTCAGGAGGCCGGCCGCCCTCTGCATGGTCCACCATGGGAACTGCTGCATTTGGATTCAATACGATGTAAAAAACACAATGAAAACAGCAGTACCCAGTCCTGGCATTTACCTGGGGCTCAGTACTTCCTGAGGCTCTTATATTCCAATCCCCGAAAGTCTTCCTGGCTCCTTTGTGAAGAGGCTGCATGGTGTCACCTCCCTGGTTTCACAAGAAGCGGGGGTGGGGGGGAAGGGGAGGTACTCCGCAAGCTAGCAGAGCTGACTCTAACCCTGACCACTGACCCCACACTCTCTTTCTCTCTTTCCTTTTTACCATGTATCTTTCCTGATTATAATAGTAATATAGGCTCATTATAAAATATGCAAATACAAGAAAAAAATATGCCCCATAATCTTACACCCCCTCTCCCCCCATTCCGGAATAACCTTGGGAACGTTTCGGTATATCTCATCGGTTTTCTGCTGCGCCAACCTCCCCAGATTTGTAGAATCACAGAGTCTAGCTGGAAGACAGTGGCCTTGTCCGGTCTCCAGCAGGGTGGCCCTGCCCCAACTCCTCCTGATTGACATGGCGTCTCCGGCTCCCTGGGAGATGTGAGCCCCGCCTGTTCCTCGTGCTCCCTGGGACCCTACATTGCTATCAGGAAATGTTTGTGATGTTGATAAATCACAGGCAACCCCTCCTCCCAAAGCTTATTTCAGTTAATGAAACCTAAGCAGTTAAACCTAAGCAGTTTTAGAACCCGACTGTTCAGGGAGCTGCTGCAGTAAAAGAAACATTTTCTTATCTTTCCCCATTTTTTCTTTTCTTTTCTTTCTTTCTTTTTTTTTTTTTTTTTTTTTTTTTTTTTTTTTTTTTTTTTTCTGTCACTATTGCCTGAAATTCTACCACTAGAGCTCCTTGGATGTGTATTTCAGCATTATGCTGGTTCAAAATGAAACACAACCAACACCCCCATGGAGGGTGGTACACTCAGCATGGGACAGCACAGAAGGACAGACAGCATGGAAGGACAGATTGGTCCACGTCTTAATGGCTGAGTAACCCTGGGAAAATTACTTAGCCTCTCTGAGCCTTAGTTTTCTCACCTATAAAATGCCTCCTTTGGTGAATTTTTATAATAATTAAATGAGTGCATGGCCCATAACTATTGGTTCCCTTCCAGGCCCTAAAATGACACTTGGCTCTGTACGGGATGGATATAGGGGAATCCTGGGACTGTTTGGGGCCGAAGGAGGGGCTGAGAACTTGGAGGGGAAGGTCATGAAAGGATGGGGAGCACAAGGAGCGAGTGTGGACGTGTGTAAAAGAAAACAGAGCTGGGGAACCTCCGCCCTGGGAGGGAGGGACCCTTCAAGACCATCTCATCTGCCCCCCTCATAGTACAGCTGGGGAAACTGAGGCCCAGAGAGGAAGGGAAGGGATTTTCAGAATCCACAAAGCAGATTCTCAGAACTGGAGTCAACCAAGGAAGGGGCCAGCAGACTACACTCCCCAGCTGTGGGGGCAATTGCCCCAACAGCTGCCCTAAAGAGAAAGCTCCACCGTGACCCGTCAGCACCTCCCTCTCCCCACACATTCCCCCAAGCACCAGGCCACTGGATCCAGTCTCTCTCTAATGCCTGGGCAGGGCCCACCCCGCTCTGAAAGGGGCCATAGCATACCAGAGCCAGACCCACCTGCCTGGGGATGTACACCCAGTGCACAGGAGGAGAGCAGCGCCGCCGGGTCCTTCCTCAGGGAAGCGCAGAGGGAGTGTTCCTCTTCCCAAGCTCTTCCCCTCTCTGGGCAACATCCTTTATACATCCTCCTTTACACATCCTGAGCCCCACCTCGCCACACAGCCACGAACTGTTCTCACTGAAAACAAGTCAAGCTCAGATGACGGGCCACCACCCTCCCCCAGGAAGGAGTATCCACCCTTGCTGCCTGCCCCGCGTGTCCCCCCCCCCCCCCCCCCGCAAAAACAGTCTAATTATTTTGGGAAAAAATGTGACTGACTCCAACCACACCTCTTTGGAAGATCCCCAGCAGTTTCCAAACTGGGGACAAGGGATGGAGGAGCCATGGCCTGTGAAAGAGGGATCTCTGGATTATACAGGCCCCGAGTGACCTATCTGCTCAACTCAAGGCTCATCCCAGTGCCTGCTTAGCAGTGGGTTTGGGGGACAAAGAGGCTGGAGTGAGTGGTGCTTTCTCCCTGTATGCTGATCTTCAGGGCTTTGGTCTCAGCTGCAACTGTGCAGCTGGCCACTAGATGACGTCTAACAGGATGTCCGATCCTAGAGGCCCGGGTGCTGTGTGGGCCTGACCAGTGTGACCTCATGTGTTTGTCCTTACCCCCCTCGTGTGTGTGGGCACGTACACACACACACACACACACACACACACACACACACAGAGTTTGTATTCCTGGGAGTGCCTCCTGCCACCACAGGGGGCTTGTCTGTGGTGCCACCACAGGGGGCTTCTCTGTGGCGCATTGTCACAAAAGAACGGATGCAGAGGGTCCGGTCAGGCCTTCCTCCAGAACTATCCTTCCTCCCAGGCCAGGATGCCCTACAAGGTGTAGCTCTTCCCTCAGCCACATGGCAAGCGTCACTATGCTTGAGAAACCGTGAACACCGACTGGATATTGTGTAGAATTGTCATAGCTGGCATCCTTCCCCCTCCGGGATTGCTGTTTTATCCACTGGGCTCGCCCTTTCTGCAGAGTTACTTCCTGCCCAGATCCTATCTGTCCTTCAGATAGGACTGGATAGAACTAGCAGCTCGATAAGCGATTCCTGAATAAAAACCATGGCTTGGGGCCTAACCGGTTTGGCTCAGTGGATAGAGCGTCAGCCTGCGGACTCAAGGGTCCCAGGTTCAATTCCGGTCAAGGGCATGTACCTTGGTTGCGGGCACATCCCCAGTAGGGAGTGTGCAGGAGGCAGATGATCGATGTTTCTAACTCTCTATCCTTCTCCCTTCCTCTCTGTAGAAAAATCAATAAAATACATTAAAAAAAAACCAAACAAACCCCCATGGCTTGGTGTCCTGTATCATATGGGAAGAAGATTCAAATATGGCAGCACCTTCCCCCGTCTCTCCCTTGCTGGCATCTTTGTCTTTAGGGAAGCTGACACTCTGGTCCATCTTGCTCATGAGACTCCCCACCAGAGTTTGAATTTGAGTGGCAAGTTCCAGTCAGAGGAAGTCAGTCAAGGCTCCAGGGTTAGGGTTAGGGTTAGGGTTAGAGTTAGGATTAGGGCATTCCAAAAGCAGGGAGTTCCAGGAATGAGCCTGGCCAGGTAGGCCCAGGGCACCCCACTGCTCTCCAGTCAATCATCCTGCCCTTCACAGATCCACCCCAATCCTGACCGGCCCTGCTGCACACCAGCCAACCTCACACACTGAGTTTTTCCTTCTTGACTCCCTTTCTCTGCCTTCCTCAGACTGGCATGATGAAAGTGCCTGTTCCCAGAGAGGTGCACAAGGACCTAGAAGACCCACAGGCCACATAGAGTGGAGGCCAAACCTGGGATGGCGAGGAGGGACCCTCCAAGTGGGTGGGCCTCTCAGTCTCTAGTCCAAACGCCAGATACCAATAGGAAGAATAAGGTCCAGGGAGCTGCCCAACAAAAGTCACAGAGTCCTGGTTCCACCATGGGGAACGGCCAAGTTCTAGAACCTGGGCTCTTTCCTCATATCCTTACCCCCCTTTTTAACTTTTCTATTTCAAAACTAGTGGCCCGGTGCATGAATTCATGCACATGGAAAGGAAATTAATTAGAAGAAATATTTTAATATTGCTTTTTGCCCTTTCTTTATAATAGAAGTGTCAACCAAATTCACAATTGACAATGACAGATCAAAACATGCCTGTGATTGGCACCAGTGAGAGCTTTATATGTATAGATAAACTTGCTTAATTAGACCTGCTTTCTGATTTAGCTAAACTTTTCCAATCCAGTGAAGCACCCCAACTTCTCTTTCAGATAATTGTTAGCAACACAGCAGTACATATCAACATGAAGCAGATTATTATTGTAGATCACGCAGAGAGAACAAAGGGTAAAATATTTAACTGGGGCTTGAAATTTTTAACTGTCCTACTTATGTCCTTTCTTTGGTCCAGGATCTAAAGCAGAATCTCACATTGCATTTGGTGGCTACATCTCCTTAATCTCTCCATTCCATGACAGTTCCTCAGTCTTGCTTCGTCTCTCATCACCCAGACAGTTTTGAAGAGAGCTGCAGAGTGACCCTGAATTTTGGTCTGATGCCTCTTCATAATTAGATGGAGGACACGCACTCAGGCAGGCCCACCATGGAAGTGACATTGTGTCCTTCTCAGGGGGTCATATGGAGGTACACGATTTCAGTGTCTCGGGAGTGATGATGTTAACTTTGACCACTTGGTAAAGTGGTGCATGCCAGGATTTTCCACAGTGAAGTTACTATTTATTCATTTGTAATTACTAAGCATCTTGTGGGGAGGTAATTGGAAACTACACAAATATCCTGCTCCTTAACATACTTTCGCCCACTAACTTTAGCATCTGTCGATGACACTTTCTGACAATTAGTACTGCAGTATTTGCCAAATGGTGATTCTCTATTTCCTTCATTCTTCCTACAATTATTAATTACTAGAGGCCCAGTGACCAAAAATTTGTGCACTTGGCGGGGTCCCTCAGCCCGGTCTGTGCCCTCTTGCAGTCTGGGACCCCTCGGGGGATATCCACCTGCTGGCTTAGGCCTGCTCCCCGGGAGATCGGGCCTAAGCTGGCAGTCAGACATCCCTCTGGCAGCCTGGGAGCCTTCGGGGGATGTCCACTTGCCAGTGGGGAGCAGGCCTAAACTGCAGTCGGACATCCTTAGCGCTGCTGAGGAGGCGGGAGAGTCTCCCACCACCACCGCTGTGTTGGCAGCTGTCAGCCTGGCTTGTGGCTGAGCAGAGCTCCCCCTGTGGGAGCGTACTGACCACCAGGGGCCAGCGCCTGCATTGAGCGTCTGCCCCCTGGTGGTCAGTGTGTGTTATAGTGACCAGTCATTCCCAGTCATTCTGCTGTTAGGGTCAATTTGCATATTATCCTTTTATTATATAGGATAATTTTACTCTAAGAAAAGGGTGACCTTTCTCCCTATTTATTTCTTTATTCATTTCTATCAGTATGGACTCATGGGTACCAATTTTATTCCATGAACGTCATTATTTATTTTTCTGTTCAACTGGTCTCATCCTCTTTTGAAATGTCAACCCATCTGTTTCCTGTGGAACTGAATTCCCAGCCAGGGCTCATCAAACACACCTACTCCTCGATATACAGGGCAGGTTGTTGTGGGGAGCTCAGAGCCTTTGCAACCACATTTCCCTAGAACTCACTGAGGCATCTTCCCAGCAAGGGCTGGGCCTTTTTCCTATAACTGGGCAGGTTCCAGTCAGGGGAAGTCAGTCAAGGTTTCAGGATTAGTATTAGGGGCAGGGAGTTCCAGGAAGGGCTGAGCCTGGCCAGGTAGGCCCAGGTCACCCCACTGCTCTCCAGTCAGCAACCTGCCCTCCACAGATCCACCCCAATCCTGACCAGCCCAGTAGCAGCACCGGCCAACCGCACACCCCGAGATTTTCCTTCACGACTCCCCTTCTCTGCCCTGCTGCAGAGATAACTGCCTAGGAGCCCAAGTGGCAGACAGCTGGGCAGCACGTGTGCAAATTCTTTCATGCAGAGGAAGTGAGCTCCACCCAGGGGCAGTGCCAGCTGCTCTCTGCCAGCTCCAAGGACAGCATCTGTCAATGACACTTTCTGACAGTAAGTACTGTGGTGTTTGCCAAATGGTGATTATCTATTTCCATCATTCTTTCTATACTCACTAGTGTGGGGAGCCGATATAGGGTTAAGACTTGGACTGACCTGTTAGCAAAATCACAAACAAGTCTTCTTCCGAGTCTTAACCCAATCCGAGAGGTGGCCGCTGATTTACAGGCGCTGTCATTTAAAAAATAAAAATGGGGGAATTTGCCAGAAGCTGGTCCACCCTTGCTGCTTGACACAGTTGCTGCAGGGAAGAAACATCTGCATAGCTTATGTTTCAAGGGACCTGGCGTATATGACATATGTTTGCTCCCCCTCTTAGCGCTATGTGTTTTAAACAGGACCACCTCCCCGAGAAAGGTTGTGTCCCCAGGTTAGGGATTAACAGGACTAAGGAAGAGAATAAATCAGTAAATCCCCCTAGTGTTACAGAAATACCATGTACTACTTATGAAGAACTTAGACTAAGACTGTTGGCAATAAATTTGGGACTTGTTGGGCCCACATCCCCAGGGGTCTGCCCACCAGGGAAAGCACCAAAGCCTATACCCCTGGAGATCCACCGACACAGGGCAGTCCCAGGGAAGGCAAGCAGCGAGGGTGGGAGGACATAACCTTTACTGGGTAGGATAATCTCCTTCAGTCACTTCCTTGTAGCCTATCAGTAGAGCAGTAACCTTGAAATAGCCCTTGTAATGGAACACAGAGATTAACCTAGACAACATTAAAATCAATAGAACTAGATAGAGACAGGAATTTTGGCAAAGGTCAGATAAGAAACAAGGAACTGTAGAACGTTACCCAAAACATACCATGATTTAATTATAGAGGCATGCTTATAGGATCAAATAGTATAAATACAGATGTAACAGGACAATAAAAAAAGAACCTCGCTATGCTGATCAACTGAACAGAGCCTCCATGTCATTCCTTCTTCGCCAACTCCATCCACACCTTTGGGAAACCCTGGACCTGCTGGGGCTGGACCCCAACACACTAGTTGGAATTTTACTGTAAGAAAG